CATCTTAAGACTATATATATATATATATATATATATATATATATATATATATATATATATAAAATGAACAATAAAATGCAAGGATCACATTATATGGGGAATAGCTCATTATTTCGGCAGACGAAAATATATTTCGTTTGACAGCACAAATGATGCTAAGACAGTAGGACTGGGTGTTGGACAGGTACTACACTCTAATCCCTGGGCGAAAAATATAATGATAGTGCATACAAACAAGCCAAATAATATTGATTTTGGACAAAATCGAAGGTCTTTTATGATGGCTTGACGAACTTGGTAGAGAATTTCGAACGTGATTCATTTCTAAATCTTGAAAATGTTCTATGCTAAACGACATCTTGGAAGTAACCTTAATTGTTCGTTGCATAAATTTCTAGCATTGTCTATTACAATTCTTTTGTACAATTGTTTAGTATTATAATCGCCTCGATGTGACTGTATTCAGCGCAAATCGAGAAAATAACATATAGAAAAGTAATTAGTAAAAGCGACAAAAGCTTATTTATCAATATTGGCAAACACTTTTAAAGAAGGACTCGTTTCTTTTTGTATTTGTGACAAAGGATATTTTCTATCGTCCGGAATATTTGAAAGATGACCTGAGATAATAAGGCAATGATGTCTTGGCATAACTATATTTGTGAAAGAAAATAAAAAGGAATTATTTTTACTTCAATCCACTTTTTACCCCACTTCACGTTTTTTTTTCTGTTCAAGATAAAAAAGGAGGTGAACTAAAAGACCATAAAATATCGAAAAAGAAATCAAGAAACGAAGGGACCTTATCAGCGAATAGGATTTAATCATTTTGGGGTTTGAATCGAGGTCGAACGTATTAAAAGTATTAGACAGAGCAGCTATCGGGTGGAATTTTTTTGACAGCTGATTGAATGGAATTATTATAATTTTTTTTGTGTGTGTTGGGATGAGAAAAGATTATTGATAACGAACGCCGGTGAGGGAGAGAAGAAATGACGAAAGGAAAGATGGCGGTGGGAAATGAAAATATTTATCTTGAAAACGACAAAAATAAATAATATGGGAAAACGACCTCGAATTCAGGAGGGAATGAAATCACGTGATTTATCAACACGCAAGAAAGAAAAAATATCATAAAAAAATATATATATATATATATATATATATATATATATATATATATATATATATATATATATATATATATATATATATATATATATATATATATATAATACATAGAAGGTTAATGGTTAGAGTTGAAACTTTTCTCTCTCTCTCTCTCTCTCTGTCTCTGATATATATATATATATATATATATATATATATATATATATATATATATCGCTATCACTTGACTTAAAATATTTTTGCCATTCCTTGCCTTTCAAGGAGTGCCCTTTGCCGTGCTGATGTTGCTACATGCCTTACTTCTTGCCTATTTAACACTGCGAATTTTTTCTAAGCTCTACACTAAAAAAGAATGTTAACAACAAATACTTTTTCACACCCAACCCAGTTCTGCGGAATCAGAATCAACGTTGAGTTTAAGCAAGCGAATGAGCCAATTGGAGTAAAGTGCCATGCAGATTAAAATTTTTCCCACTTGTGACGAATGCAGCTTTCGATTTTTTTGCATGCTAGCATGCTAGTTAAAATTCGTGTCAGTCAGCTGTTGGCACTCACGCTGGCCAATAGAATCTTCCTGCCTATTCGTGGCAGCCAGCTATTGGCTCTCACTGTGGCCAGTACAAAATGGCCGCAAACTACATGAAAACAGCCGTAGAAGCATGAAAAATCGATTATTTCCACTATCGATGGGAGTTGGGAAATGCAAAGTCGGTCTTGGCCTTCCCGCTAACTTGGAGCATGTGCATGTAAATTTTGGTGCAAATCCGTCGAAAATTGCGACCGTGCATTCGTTACACACACACACACACACACACACACACACACACACACACACACACACACACACACACACACACACACACATCCTGCCTTTTATAGATAGAGATTTATGCTATAATTTTCGAATAAATAATTATATTTGCTGTACTCTGTATTGAGCACTCTTTTAAGAATAGTATTTTTTGGTTATTGGAATTTATTCTGTATACACCAATCCTATACTTTTCTGTGGTATATATATATATATATATATATATATATATATATATATATATATATATATATATATATATTCAGTTGTATGGATATGAGTTTGTAACACAGGGTTCCACGCATTTGCGATCATCAGTAAAATCTTTGTCTGATAACCGCAAAAGCGTAAAACCCGGGGTCACAAACTCATATCCATACAATTGAATATGTTACCTCTATCACTGATATTGAGCACTTTCCAATAAGTACCATGCATATATAATATATACAGAAATTATATATATACATACAAACATATATATATATATATATATATATATGTGTGTGTGTGTGTGTGTGTGTATACATGAGAGAGTTAAAGAGTGAGAGTGTGAGAGAGAGAAAAGGAGGTAAAAAGAGAGTGAAGTGGAGAAAAAAGGGGTAAAGATGGATGAAAAGAAAAGAAAGACAAAGGATAGGAAATAAAGGGAGAAAGATGAAGAAAAGAAAATGGGCACGATAAGAAAAAAGACCATTGTTTACGAAATGCAAACGGCGGGCAGAGTTCAAATCACAGTCGAGTCATACTTTTACTTTCGCACTAACGCCCTTGCGAAAGGCATGTCTCCATTTCTTGTTTTCTTTCCCCGTTGGGACGACTTGACTCTGTTGCCTGAGATGGCGGCCAAAAAGAAAACATTGAATTGAAAACCTTAAAATAGTAAAAGTAAGCTACATTCCTAAGAAGTCATGTCAATTCCTAGACAATAAAGAAGCAGACGCTGTGGTGAGCCATAATCGCCCGCGGCTTGAAGGGAAATAGCATTTAAAAGAATTTGTTTGGACGAAAACAAGATTTCGAATAAAAAAATAGTATATAAAAAAAAGTTTTATTTTCAGTAAACAAATAAAAGTTGTTTATATTTCACTCAAATATTGGGATTAAAACCAGAAATGTTGAGGAACATCTCCGGTTCATGGGGCAAATTATTTGGGGCTGAGTGATACATCAATATGGTCATATTCAGTCATATCTGAAGCCCCTGAAGGATTTTTAAGCTTAATCATTAAATGCTGCTGTGTGGGCGACCAGATCACAGTTATCGACAGAAAGTATATCCCCTTATGAGAGAAATGAAAAGTTTTGATTTGGAAGTAATTCACCTCAGCTTGAATCCTCACACAACTGAATAATTAACATTTCCTGGTTTCGGATTAATTGTTATTTCTGTTCCCTCGTCAGGGGGTTTAACAAAAATATTTCAACGAGTGCAGACAATATCCGCGTAGCTCCAAGTCGGGGAAGATAATTTAAACATTCAATTTTATTTTTTGCTATTAATATTCCGTCACTTGATATTTAATTTCAAATGCTACTTAATTTAAAAGGATTATCCTCCAAGAAGGGTTATCCACCGGCCTACCCTTTTTCATTTTTTCACTCTGAAGTTCATTCTATGCTAATTCTGGAAGTGGAACTTTTAGACTATATGTGTGTGTGTGTGTGTATATATATATATATATATATATATATATATATATATATATGAATAAATATACACCTAAGGTGGGAAATATTTATGGGATAAAGTGCTCAATATCAGAGACAAAGCGTGTGTAAATATAAAAGTGAACATTGAAGTCAACACTTAGAGGCGACAGGCTGTTTGATGCTAGGCGCGCGCGCAAAAAAAAAAAAAAAAATTCAACCTTAGCGTTGCGACTACACGCTCCAAAATTTCTTATCCGTTAATAATAAAAAAACATATTTCGATTAACATTTAATCTTCCGTGTCCCGCTTCTACCTGGATTTACTAAAAAAAAACAAATTAATTTCCTTGCCTGAGGATGGCTGTAAGTACAGCTGAAAGTACTAGTAGAATGAAAAAAGACTTTATACAACATGAACTTATTAAAAACAAGGATCATAACATTCATCAAGAGGTTCGTGGGTTATTGTAACTTTAATAAATTTGTTTGCCATTTATATCATTAACTTTACTTATCTACTTTTTGTATGAATGATTCATGTAATATAAATTGAACTGCACCACATATTTGATATATATATATATATATATATATATATATATATATATATATATATATATATATATCAGAGCCTCCAAGTGTGCCAAATTTGGAAAGAAGGTTAGAAATCCTATCTCGTAGATCAAGTTGTTATTATGAGTTCGATTCTCAGTGGATGTTATTTTATTTTCCATTGCCTTTTGCCAGATTAAAACAAGATGACCCTGTCCGCTAAAAAGGCAAACGATGCCCTAAAGGGTTGATCTGCAACTATTTCAGTCCGAGGTTCACATTTTTGGCGAGCCAACGAAAAAGATCTGTTTTATAAATAAATGTAATTGAAATGAATGTATAATTCGGGTTATTTTTTACAATCTTCGTGATATAAATCAAACCAAAAGAGAAATGTAACAATAACGAAGACCCAACGCCATGTTTACGTTGAGAAATGGCATATAATGAGTAAACATGACATACTTTATTAAATGCTCTGACGAAATAATCCAACGTAATCCAGGTGAGGTCGAGTCTTTCTGTTTATGCATATTTGACATGTTTATCAGATAAGGTAGTTGAGCATAATTAACATTTGTCCGAACAAATACGAGTTTGGAATGCTGCTTTCAAGAAAGACCGAAAATGGAAGAATGGGCAATCAATTCTTACTATTTTATTTACTCCGAATTTGGGGATGGGTCGGTAACATCGAATCTTGGTAAATGACGATGTATTTGAATTTTGGAAGTACACAGAGGAATGAACTGATGCTGGCATGGAATATAAGGGATGAGCCCTGATGAAGTTTGAATTGATTATGTTCGCAACAATAACACAAATGAAAGCCGACACGTTTATTAAATAAGCT